AGCAATGTGTTGCACAGGAGCGTGATACAAACCAAACCAAAGCAACACTGTGAAAAGTATCAGGTTAATTACAATACCAGGGTGCTGCTAAATAATGATAGGTATCTTGAAACTAGGGAACTAGAACTATTAAACTACAATAAAAATACAGAAAAGATTTCAGATAATGATGGGCCTTACATAATATTTATAAAGAGCCGTAGTGAAACCAGTTGTTCCAGCTCTTCCTTAAATAAGAAATCCAATTGACATTTGTAACATCTCTAATAACTAAAAATTCAGACTTGGAATAGAGCCTTTCTCAACAGTATGTGGTGTGATATGTTTAGATTAGGACAGTCATGTTTTTTAGCTGCCTTTAACAAACACTATTTTCCATAAGACCTAGACTTTCAAGGGTTAAATGTTGCGGCTTGACAAAAGAGGCAAGTTGAGGTCTCAGACATGCTGTATCAACAGCAGGACTGAGAGGACTGAAAGGTTTTAGACACATTACCGCTATAAAAATTACCTCAGAAGAGGAGTTTGGATGGATATGGCCGAAACCAAGTTACGATGACAAACGGCGCTGCCTTAGTAAAAGGCGTATTTCCCCAAATGTCAAACAATACCTTTAAAAATATGATTTTGATGGTTTTCAAAAACTATTTGCTTGGAGTCATCAATGTGGACAACACAATTTGGTGCATCGATAACATTGTACAGTGCATTAGCCTATTAAATGGTTTAGCTCCACATTCGCTGTGTGTAAAAAAACCCCATAAAAATCACAAATGTTTTGTCAGAAAGGTTAGTGAAAGCAACAAGTTAAATACATATGTGTTGGTGAGGAGCTTGGGAATTTACTGCCCAGTCTCTGTGACCCTTAGCAGGAGACTGGCTCCATTCTTGACCTCCACTGGACACTCAACACAAACTTACAACAGCAGCCCATAACCCCTAACCTCTACCGACTCACTGACCTTTCCCCCTTGATCTTGGGCCAATCCATCGTTGAAAAGGCCCTTGATATGTCTCTAATCTGATCAGTAAGGACTTGTGGCATGTGATGCACCTATTTCACATTGACGGGTTCATGGGTCTTGGATTATGTTGTGCATTTTCATGTTTGCTCTTTTACTTTGTGACTTATACAATTATGTTAGGAGTGTGTTACACAGAACAAATACACTATATACAGCATCACTTGACAAGCATACCAATTAATAACCACAGTTTCTCAATTTTGTTTAAATAATTTGCTCTTGCAGATGAAGATGTAATGTCAATTACCCATGCACAGTTTTAGCCACGGCCCAATATAAGCTTCTGCACAATAAAACCGTGACAGGTACATTATTGTAACACAGTATTGTGTATTGGCACAGTCAGTGACTAGAGGGTTGTAGCAAGTGGTTGCAATAAGTGAAAGGAATGGCTGTCAAATCAAATCACTTGCTTTGCTGCCAAAACAAGAAAAGCCTGTGGTGCACCAACAGCTGTGAATTTTTAAATATCTCACTAAAAAACAGACGTGTTTTGTCCACTAGTGTGGTCAGTCAGAGTTTGCATTTACTGTACAAGCTGTAAAAGAGTGAAATCCTTCACAAAAATACACACTCACTCACGCACCCATACATAGTATATGCACACACACACACACACACACACACACACACACACACACACACACACACACACACACAGTATATGCACGCACACACACACACCCATACATAGTATATGCACGCACACACACGCACGCAAGTCTCTAATTCCACTGACCAGTGAGGCTGACAACAACTGAGCTCATATATCTGTAGTGGTGGTCTGAAACTGACACGTCCCCGGGGCCCACTGTGTCCAAGGTGTGTCAGCAGCCCTTACATAATAAACACTATAGTTGGACACTGACACATGTACGGGAATATTACTGGCTACCAGCAACAAGCAATTACTGACCATCTGTTATTACTGATCAGTTAGTTTTGAATAGAACCATCTATAACGTCTGTTTAATCTATCAATGTTGGGATTCAGGCTTGGAAAAGTAATAAAATAAAATAAACCTCTTTGGCACCAATGTCAAAAAGTAAATGGATGCCACTGTCATATGCCACGAGCATGCAGTAGACATGAATAACAAACTTTAAAGTATCAGATATGGGGAAACCTTTGATGCAGGGCATATAGTAAAGGCAAGGCAAATTTATTTGTAGAGCACCTTCCAACAACAAGGCAAAACAAAGTAGGCTACTTTACATAATAATAATAATAATAATCTTTATTTGTAGAGCACTTTTCAAAAACAAGTTACAAAGTGCTTTAACAAGTGTAAAGACAATAATACCCAAAAGACAATAATACAAAAATCAATACAAGATAAAAGCAAGAAAACATTGAAAAGACTAAAATACACATTTAAGATAAATACAAAATAAGTAAAATAGAATAAAATAAAGGGATAAAATACAGTCAAATAAGATCGGGAAAGCCTCTCCTATAAAAGTATGTTTTAAGAAGGGACTTAAAAGAGTTCACTGACTCAGCCGACCTGATTTCCTCGGGCAGGCTGTTCCAGAGCCTCGGGGCCCTGACAGCAAACGCTCTGTCCCCTTTAGTTTTCAGTCGAGACTCTGGAACAGACAACAGACCTCTGCCCGAGGATCTCAAGGTACGTGCTGGTGCGTATGGGACTAAAAGGTCAGAAATATAACAAGGCGAGAGGCCATGAAGAGCTTTAAAAGTGATCAATAAAATTTTTAAGTCAATTCTAAAACATACTGGGAGCCAGTGTAATGAAGCTAAAATAGGGGTGATGTGGTCATATTTCTTTGATCTGGTTAAAAGCCTGGCAGCTGAGTTCTGGATAGTCTGGAGTCGATCAGTAGATTTTTTTAAGACCATAGGCCATAGGATAGGTCGCCACCATGTCAATTTTTTGCAACCAGCAGCACCGGACGTGACCATATTTGGATGACACGGTAGAGCTAATGGCTGTGTGCGGCGCTAGCTAGCTTGCTTAGCTAGGTGCATCTGTAATAGACGTTAACTGTCATTTTAACAGGGCTGACATCTTTGTCTAGCTAATAACAGGCTTAAAACTAAATCCCGCCCTGAAGCATACTCTGCTTTATGGTCTATTTTCCTCTAAATGGGACCATAGTTTAATAAATGAACATCATGTTCTATCGAAGAAGAAATTAAACTACTGATTGAGTCCATTATCTCATTATCAAAGTGTTTAATGAGGTAATAAATCAGCTTCTTTTTGCAACCAGAAGAGTCGCCCCCTGTTGGCCGTTCGATAGAGGCAGTTTAAGGGACTTCCGTCTTCACCTCAGTTCTGACTGGAAGCGTCTAGTTTGCACAAGACAAACAAGGCATTAAGAAAAGAAACGCAAGGCAAAAATACGTAAATATGATTTAAAAAGAGTAAAATAAAATTGAAAATAAAAACAAGCTTAAAAGACTAATACAGATTATTAAGTAGAATAAAGTAAAGTACTGAGAACACTGAAATTATATTGATTTAAAGTGTGGCAGCAGAAATGTGATCATGAGCAGTGTTGGGCATTACTTGTGGTGGTGCCTTACAGTATAATGTAATTACATTTGTCAGTAACGAATTGTGTATTTATTACAATTCGATATTCAGTAACAAAATATGTGACTGATTGTTGATTGTTTAAAGGCACCTTTGACGGGGCTTTGTAGAGTGACGAAACTATAGTAACGGGTAAAGTTGCTTATTACTATAAGGTAAACAGCAATGTAATCTCATTATGTTTGTGTGTGTAATGACAAATTAAGTTTTGACTGAAAGTGATGATTTTTGGGTAAGAACAAGTACCGGAAGAGTAAAAATGAGATCTGACAGGAAATTAAGGTAAGGTGAGGGATGGGTGAAGGTTATATTGTTAGGTGAGAAAGTCAAAATTATAGACTGAATATAGACGTTGCACTCAGCGTGAGGGATGCTGAAGGTACATGGCAGACTAAGGAGGGCTGGGCGATCGGCAGTGTTCTGTGGCAGTTTGAGTGAAGCAGCAGGTAGCTGGGGAGCTGTCCAAAGACATTACAGCTCTCAGGGGAAGCCAAGCAAAAGAGAAGAGGAAAGGGAAAAAAAACCAAAAGAGCCCTGCAGGCCAAACATCAGCCATCTCTATCCAGGCAAAATATATCCACATATATCCAATATATCCATCTAACAGCTTCATGGGTTTCAAATAGCATGCATAGTGTGGGATTTTTATTCCTCTACTGTGGTTTGACTGTCCTGACAATATCAGTCCAGCGTATTTACATACATCATACATCACTGATTTAAAACAGAAGAACCATCACCTCTTCCTTTTGATCCTGGATTAGTAAGGTACGTGAAAAACCAAGCTTTCAATAGCAATCTCAATGCAAGCTCAGTTGAGACCACAATGTTATTGCTTTAATATTGATTGGAGATTAGTTGTACCACTCCCTTCTGGCAGCGGGTGCCCAGCTATACTGTACAGTTTTGCCTCAAACTGAGCACCTCCTCCCAACACACACACACACACACACACACACACACACACACACACACACACACACACACACACACACACACACACACACACACACTGTGATGGATCAATACTCTTGTCATCAACTCTGCGCCCCACTCGCTGCACCATAAAGACAATAATGTCGGCTTTGTTTTCATAACGCAGCATGTCATTGTTGATCTATAATGTTTATCCCCAGCCACAGATGGTTTTAGGTGTGAACCACAGAAAAGGGTTGATGGTGAGAAACAGAGAGTCAATTCAGGGATCTGTTACCAAGCCGATACCCTAACTAAAACCATATTTCTGCAACTTGCTGGTGACATGTGTTTCTCAGGGGACATACAGTATGAGGTGGACCCTGCTTGCAAGCACTCTGGCTACTTGGAATGCTTATTGAATTCAATACCTTGCAGCATGGGAAGGGAAATAAAACATGCACCAGCGCTTGTGACATGTCCAAAACAATACACTTACTTGTGACGGGTCATGGGCTTGTTTGGTGAATGATGAGGGTTGAGTCCAGCCTTGTACAGGTTGTATCTGCTTCCATAGAAAGGGTTGACATGGCCTCCATAGAAAGTCCCTTTGCTGTCCACCACAGATAGCAACTCTCCTAAGAGAAAGACTTGTGCAAACAGTTGACAGAACTTGGTCCTCATTGTTTTTTCTTTTTTCAGTAAGTCTTTAAAAGCTTAATTAATTCCTTAGAGTCTTGAGTTGAGTTGCAGGTTTCTCAGAGTGTTGTGTTGAAGTTCCCCAGCTCACGTGCAGTCTTGTCTTCTTCAGTGGGCCCTGAAGGAGACATGGAGCCCAAACAGCTGTAGCATCAGCAGCATCTCGCTCTGTATGCCTTCAGTTCGCACACTCACCACAGTCTGAGCACATAGGACAGAGGAGCAGAGGGAAAAGTTGTGAGGCTGAAGAGGGAGGGAAGAGGAAGAGGGGCAAGGACAACAACACAAAGGTGTGCTGAAAGAAGGGAAAGGAGAAAGAGGAGAGCAGGACAGAGGCAAGAAGGCGGGAGCGTGTGAGTGTGTCTCTAGGAAAGTTTCAGCTCCATACACACACACACAAACACACACACAAGCGTGTGTGAGACCTGCTGACTAGGCTCGACCCTCCAAGTCCTCTGCACTCTGCGTGAGTGACGTTGTGTGTGCAAGAAGCAGCGTGCTGCTCTGCTGCCTCTGAAGGGGCAGGCAGACAGACTGCCTGTATTTGCATATCCCACCCCAACTCCATCCTTGCTGCTCTGTACAAGGGAGTGGGGGTGATTTGGCTATTTCCCTCTTTCTTGCACACATAAACACAAACATATAAACACACACCTTCAAATTCAGACCTTCAGATTCAAAGAAAAAAAGAAAGCTCTGCTCTACTTAATGCTGCTTTAGTTGTTTGTCATCCCCTCTTCTGGCCTATCCGCTTTCTCTCCGATCTCCTGCAATCTCCTGCAAAGTTTTTGTCTCTTTAATCCTTTAACAATTTTATTTCTTTACCCTCTTCTTTTCTTTCTCCATCTGCCCTGGGAGCAGCTGTACATCAAAGTGCAGCCCCAGTGCTCAGTGCCATGTGCGTGGCTGCGGCTGCAGCCAGCTAAGACGCTGTAGATCTGGACACAATGGACCTCCTCCTTGCCTCACCGCGGTCAGTCATTAAAAATCCCAGCCACAGCTTCATTTGCGTTCCACACACCAACCCCCTGCTTATGTCTTTCCGCACTTCCATGTAGTTCTTGAATTCATGCATAACTGCCTCCTGTGTCTTTCAGAAGGTTTGTCCCCGGGGATTACGCAAATCAATTCAATTTCTATAATAAGAGAGCGTCAGTGTTTGATCAGTATCTGAATTAATGTTTGTTGAGCCTGAAAAAATGTCTCTAAACCGTTAGTGAAAGGGAGGCTAGATTGTTGGCAATCGAAGGCGAAGACTTAAAATTTTGTCCCTCCATGGCTTGTCTCAGACACACAAAATCACAAAGGCAAATTATAATTATAATAACGTTCACCTCCTTCAGCAACATACTTGTCATACTCCAAAAATCTATTGGCATTTCTGGTGTTAGTGTCACCAAAGAGTGGAACAGTGAAATTCATTTGCACGTTCTCAATAGGTTGCAAGTAGCTGGTGCTGGATGCTAGCTGACGTAGTGACTACTTTCATATTGCGCCGTGATGTTGGTTGTAGCTAGTTTTGTCTGTGGCAAAATGGAAACAAAAGGAACACTTGGATGGTGCAACAGATCTAATCTGACACCTCCCCCCATTTTGGATTCAAGTGGCATTCTCAAGACAGTTTAAAACTGGTCGTTTATGTAAATTTGTGTTTTAACATTCCCCAAAGTTGAACAGTATGGAAATGCACTGTGTAACTGTGCGAGCACTGATCGCTGAGTTTCTGTTGAAATTATTATAGATAATAAAAATTTGCTGCTACAACCAAGCCACCAAATTAACCTCTGGCTGGATAAAAAAACTTTTTTTCTAGTCGACTAGATGGGTAGCCCCAGCGTGACTCTTCAGTACTTGTGGCTGATTTTAGACTTGAAGGAAGAGGCCGGTCTCTGAAATGGCTTCTTTGTTTGGATGGTTGGTTGCCAGTGTGCTTCTCACCTGTGTGTGGAATATGCAGCATTTATTCTGCTTTATTTACTCTTCATTTACAGGTCAGTGTGAAAGAAAACACGCAGCTTCACGGTATGGAAAGGCACATTTGTGGAAGACTTTCCAAATATGTGTGTTTCAGACATGAGAGAGCTTCAACAGCCACAGAGATGGTAGGTCTATCAACCAATGTGTGTTGTAGCTGGCAAAAGGATGAACAAAACCTTTGAAAAACACCTTAGTCTTTCTCGTTATATCTTCATCTTATTCCATTGTTTGCATAATATGGAATTTAACCTTGTGTTGTTCCTTTCGTCCGCTCATGCTGCACAGCTGAGGATTCATCCTTTCGCTCCAGAAACTGTCACCTCAGAAAAGCAGGAAGAAAGTGAAAAGGAAACTATTTCTAAATCTTTGTCTATTCTGGCATACAGCTCTGAACTGAAATACCGTTTTTCACAGAAATGACTGGCACATTTTTAAACAGATGTCTGCTCCAGCACAGTATCCAGATGCTAAGGAAAAATGGGAGTTATCTGTGAATCTCTCACTCACCTCTCACAGTTTGTGATAATTTAGAACATTAAATAGAATCACATTGGTGTGATGAAAGAACAATTCAACCAAAACAAATACTAAAATAATCAACATCTTCTTATTCTATTGATATATTTGCTTTAAGCCAGAAATGTAATTTTCAGTTTCAATGATTAAACAGTGAGCCAAAACAGTTTCTTGTGGTTGTAATTCACATGAGTCTGGGTTTGTTCTCTTCTTATTTAGAATAGATTTTCATTCTGCAAATATTGGATTTTATATCTCTTGTGCTACATCTGTGAGCAGTTTCAGATACGTGTCCTTACCTGCAGCCTAACTTTTTCTATACTCTGAATGGATATCTGAGATGAAATTCATGTGACATGTTAAAAGTCTGTAGCCTTTTGAGCATTGGCCAATATAATACCTTGGCATTTACACTGAATACGAGGCAGTGAAAGTGACCAAAAATATTGTACAACAAATTCCTTATCTTTATATGGTTTTGGACTCCGGATATTGTATTCCTGATCCAAGTGAAATACATCCTGTGTCTAGTTTGTTCCCCCCCCCTTTAGCCAAGAGTGCCTGATAGGATCCATCAGTATGTAGTCTCTGTGCACAGGCCTGCATGTTGAGCGACAAATTTAATGAATCCACTTCAACGAAACAGGACACCACTCAATTAGTTTCATTGCCCTAACCAGTCCATGAACTGTCCCATCATTTGTCTTCTCCGGGACTACACAACACACCCTTTTTTTAAATCAGATTTAGACACAGGGGCATCAGCTACTTAGCAATGAGAAGGACACTTGATGCTTTCTTAAAGTAGTGACCTGGGAAGCAACCCTTTCTTGATAAAGAAGTATAGACGAGGAGAATAGAGAACAGTCATTTATTTCCCCATTCCCAAGGTGGGACAGAGAGAGTTGGTGCACATGTGTAGAAAGAAAAATCATTCCAAGTGTCAAAGATATGCTAGCACCAGAGAGCTAGGCAATTCAGCTGTGTGATGTGAATAAGCAAAAACATTTTCTTTGTGCATTTTACTGAACACAAAAAACAAACTTCTACTAGAAGAAAATCAATTAGCAGCTAAGCCACTTGGTATATTCATTTCTAGGTGGTGTGACCCTCCATTACTTCAATCATAAAATCTGCTCGTTAACATGTGACACCAGCTGTAAAATCAGGCCTCCATCTATAACAGTTCAAGATGGACGGTGATAAATTACCCACTCTCTCCACTCTGCGGGCATTAAAGACTCACTGGTGGTTTTCAACCAAAGGGAGTATTCTGTATTGGTTTGGGGGATAGCAAGATTTCTCAGGGAGTGTACAGAAACATTGACGTTCATAGGAAACCCACTATCAAGAGAACGAGGCAATGGTAAGTTTGATTTAAATTTCTGAGTGATGACTTCTTACACAGAAAGATTACCATTTAAACAATTTTGGTTATTTCACATAGAAGATGATATCTCCCCCTGAATATCCATTAAATAGAGAAAAAAAAACAAACAAAAAAAACAAATACACAACCCTCTACTGTTTTTGAACAATACACCAAAAAGTAACCATTGTTGATTGAGCCATTATAGACCCCCAAAAAGGGGGACAAACACAGGATTTTCAGAGGGGTCACGAGGTCCTTCCTGTGATGAGACAATAGGACCAGGAGGATATGCACTTAAAGATGTAGGTGTGGGAATGGAATAGCATTTCAGAGTGTACACATGAATGCATCCTTCTTATCTTTTCAACACCACATGTCCTGGAGCACTTCTAGATGTTGTCACTCCATGTCAGGTACGCCAGCGTTTACCGCCTGAATCATTTTCCAGTGTAATGTAGTTTTGATCAATACTGGAATGCAGTTACAGTAAAGCAAAACAGTAGTGTGTTACACAGGAAAAGCTTACAAAAAATAATCATTTCAGCTGCTTCTGCTATCAGCACATCCTGAATGTGTCAGGGTTTGGTGATGGGAAAAGGTAGAGGACCAAAAATGCAGGACACCGAAGCAGAGCAACTACAGTTCTTCAGGTAACACTCAGGCTTACCTGAAGCAGAAGTCCAAAACAAAGGCAGAAATCCAAACATGAAAAACATTAAATCCAGGTAGAGTACAAGCAGGAAACTCCACGACACAACATTACACAAGACAGGGCACTACAAGCTACAATGATCCCGCAAGGGCAGACTAGAACAGCAGACATTATATACAGGGATAACGAGCAGGGATTGAATCAACAGAACAGAGAACAAGCTGGATGCAAACAACAGACGCAGACAACTTCAAATTAAAACAGGAATCAGCGCATAACACTGAGACACGGACCAAACTGACAGAGCTCTCACAGACAAAACCATAAACAGACAAACTTAAGACGAACACCTGACCGTTCAATTCAGAATGTGTTTGTGCTTGTGACAAAGTCAGTAAACAAGGCTGCTTTTATTCAGGGTTTTAATGCTCTCCCACAGATGCTTGCTTGTGAGCAAAGCAATGGCCTGCTGACTGCAAATTTCTGCTCCTTTTAGACCGTTGCATCTTCTCTGTGCAACCATTTGCAGCGGTATTAAGTTAGTAGTAGCCATTTAGAGTACCAGAAAATTTCAGAGAGAACAATTCAAGTTGAGTGAGCTGCTGCTGATCAGTTTTCATTTCATGGGTCCTATTGGCTCTCTCAGTAATGGCTTAGCTGCTACTGACTCTAGTAGAGGCTATTACTATGTATTGGAAATGTTAGTGATTATAAATAGATAAATACAGCGCAGTATTTAATGCTTCTCTTACTAGTATCTATTATCACTTGTAGATCTCCTGCTGTATTGATGCTTTGTTGATGCTTGTATGTTGTTCCTCAAACATAAGTTGCTTTGGATAAAAGCGTCTGCCAAATGAAAATATAAGTATATGTATAAAAACATAACTGTTGTCTTGCACACAGCCCAGTAAAATAATTACTTTCTCGTCTGCTTCATCACACTCAGGATAGATTTACATTTACATTTCCTTTACACACTTTCTATTCAGCCATCCATTAGAGAAGTCATTTAAAAGCCTCTATGTGACTGTCATGATTAGATCTAAATTGCCAATGTGCCTGATCTACAGATCATGCTGCTGCTATAATACAGCTCCACTCATCACTAAACTTAAGCCCAAATCAATGTGCCGCTGTTCATCTGCCTATTATTAATGATACATAAGACTTAAGAAGTGACTAATCCTATATGCATAAGTTAATCATTAATGGTGTATAGTGTGTCCCAGCCAGGTTTGGCATGTAGGTGGATTGCTGAGTTTAGATGTATTCTTCTTAATTCTCCATACAGATAATTGTCCTCAGTGGTTGGAGGCGCCCAGTAGAAGAATAGCCACACAACAGCTGGTGCCCGGCCCACACAGAGAAGATTGCTTTGGCGGGGAGTGATGAGGTCAAAGCATGGACTCCAAATATAAGCTGTACATATACACTGCACACACTACACTTCTTTATCTGTCCCAGTTCATTCATGCCATCCTTGAATGTGTCTATTGTTTCTCCTCCAACAGTGTTTTCTGAAAATGTAACCTAAGACAAGATACATCACTTAGCAAAGATTGGATTAGTGCTCATACACATGTAGCATTGTACACACCAATGTCTGTACTGCCACAATGAACCCAGATTTTCAATCTGATCAATTTTTCTAATTCAGAAGCTCTGCAAAGAATTTCAGCTCATTCTTAATAGTTGGCTCACAGGTGGCCTTCCTGATAAAAGTGGTTTTAAAATAAATCTCATGATCATTCCTCCTTGTAAATCTCTACATCAACTGAAACATAATACATGTTGCTCTGGGAGATTAACAGGTTAAACAGAATCATCCTGATTTATCTTATACTGCTTTTAAATGGCAGTAATAATATCAGTTTTCTCCAACTACTGAGCCTTGTGACAGCACTGACTGTATGCAGTCTATGTGATTTATGGGTCATTCATATGACGCATGAGCTCATTCCAGCCAGCACAGTATCTTCACTTTGCCAAATGTGGTTTGTGCAATGCAAAATTACATTGCATCTGTAATCATTGCTGGCGCTCTGCATGTACCAACATACACACACGCACAGGCTTCATTATCCTTCCAGTTGGTACAATAGTCTGCATCCAGTACACATCTGGTTTACATCATAGCCAGACCACCACCACCACCCAACCCAGATCTATCATGAGACACACACATGCACACATATTTCAACCTCACTCATTTTTAATACCTCATCATGCACAGCTCTTTCAGAGTGAAACACAGAAGCACTATGTTGTAGTTCATCCACCAGCAAGCAAACTGACTTCACATTAATCCTCAGTACTCAAACACTGTAACAGCATCTCCTGCTGTTGGAATAGATCAGCATATAGAAGCGCAGACACACATGTTAAGAGTGTCTGCATGTGAGCGTGCATGCAAACACTTACTTACTTTAATTGCTGGCTTTGTGTTGTATTGTAAATGTAGAGCTGGTGGGGGTCATTGTTCTGCAGAAAATATGAGGTGCGTTGAGATGAACACGCACTCACAATGAGCCCCTTGTTTCCTCAGCAATGTGTTCTCAGTTGTAAAAGCAATTAAAGACTAGTTTACTGGGCAGGACTGCTCTTTTCTCTGCCTGTGATGCAATCCTGCAGGTTTGCCCAGCTGAAGGCTGAGTGATGGGCATGCACATGCACTGGCAAACACAAACACAGGCACAGGCACATGTGCATGCAGAGGGAGAGGGCACATGCACAAACATACACACGTCATTTAATAAGCTTAGCCGGAGTTGGCCGAAGGTAAATAGTCTACATTACTGCAGCACAAGGCATGCCCTGTGTGGGGCTCTTACTTTACCAACGATAAATGTAGTTGAGTGACAGAAACTTTACTGTGAAGTCACAGTCATTAATGGGTTGACTCAACATAGATTTGTTGAACACAGACCCCAGTGTTAACCTCTTATTTGTGTAGCAAAAGATATAAACGCAATATGAACTACTCCACATAGTAGTGATGTCAGCGTCCACCTGTTTAAACTTTTTCATAGATAAAGAAAAAAGGGAGCAGAAAAGGATTGCACTTACTGAGTCAAACGTCTCCCCCACTTCCTCTACAATGTTTCGTGAATGAACTCATTGTTCAAACTATTTTTTTT